ATGTACTTTCTAATATGATCAATTTCTAATTATTAATTTGAAATTGGCAATCCACCTTGAGCAAGCGTAGTGGTCAATGGTTTGTGTGAAAAGGGGCCTTTGCTCAGCATAGTAGTGGGCTCAAATAGGCTGTTGATGATGATAGTGTAGTGTCATGTTATTTGCCGATTCGGAGTCGCGGAGAACCTAATGAGTAACCGGGGCTCCGGCTCGACGTGCAGGAGAAGGAACGGGGTGGTTTTTAGTCAATAAGAGTCTGACGCTCCCTCCCGCCTCACCCAGGCGGGAGTAGTCATTCAATGATTTTCCCCCCTTAAAAAATAGTGTCATGTTATTAACATAACATAACATAACATCACGCCTTTTATCCCTGAAGGGGTAGGCAGACGTGCACATTATGCCGCTGTACAATGTAACACCCACTTTTCACTATTTATGTTATGAGTCCCGTGTAATAGGGGATGAGCCTATTACCATATACCGGGCACAATTCCAGACTCCGTGCTACTACTGAGAATTTCTAAAAACCCAGTAATAAGACCCGGGAATCGAACCCGATACCCCTTGCCCGGCAGTCGCACTTGCGACCACTCGGCCAACGAAGCAGTCATGTTATTAAGTGATTATTATATTTTTCCTCACACTATTTCCCTAATATAAAAAGAAAAAATCTATGGAAACGAATTCGAGGCAAAAGTACGACGTCGATCAGTTTGTTTGCCAGATTTCGCGCGGCCATTCTGGGCCCCAGCCGGATCGATATTGCCAGACAAATAATACGCAGGTACAAAAATAAACGTCTGGGATAACTGGCATCACCATGGATACGTCTTCGTTGCTATGAGTAGGTGTCGGGACATTAATCAAGGACGTTGAAAATTTCAACACATTTCTAAATTAGAAACTTTCCAAGAAACTTCGAGCTTGAAAATTGACAGGTACCTACACCCACACTACTAAACTCGATCTCTTGAGATTTTGTTTAGGTCATAGAAAGTATGGTATTTTTATATTCAATAAAAATACCATACTTATTGAATATAAAAATACCTGAATAAGTACCTACTTATTCAGTAAAAAAATTTAATACAAGTTTGCAAATAAATGATTTTGATTTCGATTTTTGATTTTGGTTTTGAATACGAAGGTACCTAAGTAACTTACTATCAACTATTAAGATAATTGATATTTGAATAACGAATGAACGAATTAATTAATTAGTGCCCACTATGATAAATTAAAAATCTATGGTCAGTACCTACTATAAGAATACCTAATTGTGTTATTTAAGAAATTATAATTATAATCCCTTACCACCAGGCGAGATAGAGGTCAAACGTCGGCCCATCAAATATAAAAAAATGTGAAAATATGCGTCGCATTCATACAGATTAGTTTATCAGTTACCTGTATATATTAAGGTGGTGACACGAGCATTAATTTAGTGTCGAGGACTCGGTACCTAAGCTAGCGAACCTGCAGCTGTAGCCAAATGCCATTTAGCGCTTGTCTACATATAGAATAGATAACATAACATAACATCACGCCTTTTTAACCCCGTTTATCTATTTAGTAGGCAGAGGTGCACATTTCGGCACATAATGCCACTGTACAATGTAACACCCACTTTTCACTATTTATGTTATGAGTCCCATGTAATAGGGCTAGGGGGTGAGCCTATTGCCATATACCGGGCACATTTCCAGACTCCGTGCTACTACTGAGATTTTTTTTAAAACCCAGTAATACTTTGCCCGACCCGGGAATCGAACCCGAGACCCTTTGCCCGGCAGTCGCACTTGCGACCACTCGGCCATTATAGAATAGAAGACCTAATTATATGGAATTGACGTAAATTTTGACACATTTCAGTGTCATTTCCATACATTTAGTTTAATAGTCTCTCTGTAGACAAACGCTAAGGTGGCATTTGGCTAAAGGCACAGGTGTTCTCGGGAGAAGTCGCAGTCTCTATGTTCCTATCTCCAGTTTGCGATTACCTTGCTTTACTAGATGAAGTACGTCCATGTTATGGAACGTCCTCTAAAAATTCTCGAATATGTAAAACTACCACCATATTAGTAGTAGGTATACTTAATACACATCTGTTTGATCTTACACACGTTTTCTGTATCTTACCTTCATGGCGATCCGAAAAATGGACGCAAACTGGTGAGTGGACTAGAACAGGCGAACTATGGTGAGTGGACACGAACAGGCGAACTTTCCGTAAGTGTCCCACACTTATAAGCCATGCTTCGGCACGAATAGGCCGGCTCGACCGGAGTGATACCACGGCCTCGCAGAAAACCGACATGAAGCAACGCTTGCGTCACAGTATAAATAGGCTCACCCCCCCTATTAATTACATGGGACTCATAACGTAAATATTGAAAAGTGGGTGTTACATTGCACAGTGGCATAATGTACACCTCTGCCTAACCCTTCGGGGATAAAAGGCGTGATGTTATGTTATGAAGTTTCTTTGTTTAGATGTTTGTCCGTCAATCACGCTGAAACTACTCAATAGATTTTAATGAAATTTGGTATACAGGCAGAGTATGGACTGACTTAGGTTATAGGACTTTCCCGATTAAATGCTCCCATAGATGATTGTCATAAAACAGCAATACGCGAGCAAAAACCGCGGGTAAAAGCTAGTCATATATGTTTTGTAAACAGTTTCAATGCATGCATGTTCTTTGCCTCGTGTTTGCATTATCTGACCTGTATATTCTATTCTGTATCTGTATCTGGGCCGGCTCGACCGGAGTGATACCACGGCCTCACAGAAAACCGACGTGAAGCAATGCTTGCGTTGTGTTTCGTCGTGTGAGTGAGGTTACCGGAGGCCCAATTATCCTCCCCTTCCCCAATCTCCCCAATCCCTGAATCTCCAACGATCCTCAAACTCCTAATCCCCAAAAGGCCGGTAACGCACTTGTTACGCCTCTGATGTTCCAGGTGTACATGGGCGACGCCGATTGCTTACCATCAGGTGATCCGTAAAAATCACCTTGTAATCAAGGTAAACGCAAACTGGGGATAGGAATTATGACTTCTCCCGACTTTTTAACACCACCCGGTGTGGCTATTATTTAGATATTTTGTAATTTATTTTCATTGGTTAATGCTTTCTATAGATTACCTACCTACACATTATTATTGACTGAATAAGGGACACGTAAAAAATAATGACATAAAAATAATTTAAAATGGAATGTTCATTATATCATTACATAGGTATTTACATTTATTATACATACATTACTAGCTTTTACCCGCGGCTTCGCTCGCGTCACAAAAGGATAAAAAGTAACCTATGTGACTATCCATCCGTTCAACTACCTTCAGATAAAAAATCACGTTAATTAGTACCTCCGTTCTGCCGTTTAAGACAGGCAAACAAACAAATAGCTTTCCGCTCGCGTGGAATTCGGTTATATCGCGCTATTTAGATTTTTCCAATAAGTAGGTAATTCGTTGACTGGTTTTAAATAAAATACAACGCCATCTATACCAGTACATACAGCGCCATCTATACCAATATTTTTGTTTTTCCTAGGAAATATCAATTTTTTCCGGGATAAAAAGTACCCTATTATTTAATCCAGACTTAATTTTATGTCTGCAAAATTTCAAAACAATCGGTCTAGTAGTTACGGCGTGAAGGCGGAACAAACAAACAAACAAACAAACTCACTTTCCGATTTATAATATAAGTAAGGAAAGTAAGGATATGCACTTATAGATTTATAGCTATAGGGCATTTTTGTTTGAACACGCTAATCTCAGTTCGAATTAAAAATTTTTTTAATGTTTTTATATGTTTGTTACTCGATTACTCGAAGACGATTGGGCCAATTTCAAAAATTATTTTCTTGTTTGAAAAGGTAGGCTTGTCATTTGGTCCCATTGTCATGAAGTCAGGATCTGATGATGGAATCCCAGTGGAACCGAGAAAAACATTATAAAAATTAAAAAATAGCGCGTCTAGTGACGTGACTAGAGATTTTTTCGTTAAGTATTTAAAACCACTACAATCTGATAAAAGTCTGAAGTTGATCTGATGATGGAGCCGAGAGGCATTCGAGGGAACTCCTCAACGGTTAACAGTAGCTATATTGTGTTTGGGTCACAATCACATATCACCTAGCTATACCTAGGTGATATGTGATTGCCAATAAGGGTCTGATGATGAATTAGTACCATAGTTGAGAGGACTCCTCACTCGGTCAACAGTAGCTGTCTACGAGGCGCCCCTATAATTTTTAAAAGTTCTCTCGGTTCCCCTGGGATTCCATCATCAGATCCCGACGTCATGACAATGGGACCAAATGACAACCTACCTTTTCAAACAAAAAAGAATTTTTGAAATCGGTCCAGGTGTCTTCGATGAATCGAGTAACAAACATAAAAAAATACAGTTGAATTGAGAACCTCCTCCTTTTTTTTGTATACTCGTAAATCCTATTTATTATTTGTACGCAAAGCTGAATTATTAATACTAAGGTAAACGTGACAAGTGCAATGGCTCGAAATTATAGAGGAGAACCGCGTGGGACCAACTACCTACAGCCCTACAGGCAGCGTGGCGACGGCAGCGACAAAAAAAATAGGGGCGCCTACTTATACGCAAGGTTCAATCTCTAGGTTTTATGTTCTACTGTCAACAGAGACTCTGTTAAACCTTTAAACTTAAGTTTTGCTGTTGCTAAATTAAAGGTGAGTAGGTATTCGGTACTTAACCAACTCAATTTAACTTTGCATTCATTAGATATTAACCTTGTTTTTCATTTCATACTTTTTATCCGAGATTGGACTGTCAACGTCCTGATTGTAGGTTTTTTTTTTGTATTTCGAAATAAAATTGTCAAAGCTGCTAATGTCACATTTGCAAGACAAGATAGAAATAGCACAACAACGATTGTTTTATTGTTATTAACGATGATAAAATCTTCGGCTTCCAACATTTATATAATTCCTGAAAATTTATAGACATGAACTTCTTAGGCAGCTGCTGCACTCGGTATGGCGGTGTTACATTCTGGGCCGCTCCGCGATGTCGTAGTACTGTTAAGGCAGCTCAACTGTTAAGTGCCAACAAAATCCTGATGAAAAATAAGCAAATCAAAGAGAGAAATATAGAAAAACTTCCATTAAAACCATGCCCAGGAACCCTACGAGCATCATTTGGACCTACAATATGGACACAAGTAAGGTTTTGCAAGAGCTATCCGCGTCTGCACCGCGACATCGAATTTCCTAGTTTTGATACTTATAGGAAATCTGAGTACAAGGATGTTCGAAGTACGTCTTGGGGGGCAGGTGATGGTAAACCAGGATTCACATATGTAGTGGGACTTTTCGGTTTACTTGCTGGAGCTTATGGTATGAAGGCCCATCTGATTCACTACGTAGCATTTATGGATGCACCAGCGGATGTAATCGCTCTTGCTAGCATTGAAGTAGATTTATCAAAAGTGTTACCTGGAGCTTGCCTGGCGATAAAATGGCGAGGAAAGCCCTTATTCATCAGAAACAGAACTGCTGCAGATATTGACGCTGAAAAAAATACAGCGTTGTCTTCGTTACGAGATCCCGAAGGTGAAGAACAACGTACACAAAAAAACCAATGGCTGGTTGTGGTCGGAATCTGCACTCACTTAGGCTGTGTACCTATACCAAATAGTGGTGATTGGCCGGGTGGTTTCTATTGTCCTTGTCACGGTAGTCACTTTGATAATTTGGGAAGGGCTAGGAAAGGTCCAGCCCCAAAAAATTTAGAAGTTCCGCCTTATAAATTTATTACTGACACACTTATCAATGTAGGGTAGATTTAACCAATTTATACCTCTATGTATGATGTATTTTTTAGTCAATATACTTACTGACGTTATTTAAATAAATATTTTATTTATTAAATTATACTACCTCTATAGGTACATATTTCGCATTAATTTTTTATTTATTTAATTTTTGGAGTCGCTGTTATGATAGCGGTAAGCCTACTCTTTGACGATACAAAACTTGTCTGTAACCTTCGGAAATAAGGCCTATAGTGTAGTAAGTGAAGAGCGTTCATCGGTGACCGCTTGGGAACTCAGCAGCAATCCTCATGTCGGCAAGGGCGACCTCTTGCGTCTGGCTCTGATTCAGGCCATGGTTTCTCCTTCTGCGAAGCAGTCGTGCTAGCTAAGGAGGAGGTAGGGCACGAAGGTACAAGGAGCAGGTTAGAAAACGAATCTCCCACGGAATATTCTCCTCCGATGCCTGGAGAGTTGCGGTAGATTCATTCATCCATCCGGCCACAGTAAGCACGGTCATGTGGACGGTAAGCACGGGGAGCTCGAGTAGCTCAAAGAACCATCAGACCATCACAGTTGGGGCCCAGACCGGGCTAATGTCCAATCCGGAGCTGCGGAAGACTAAACGGGTTGCCGGGGCTCCAGCTCGACGAGCCTGAGTAGGAACGGGTTGATTCGTGGTCTGTAAGAGTCTGACACCTCTTGCCTCACCCGGGCGGGAGAAGTAATTGAATGATTTTCCCCCATCCAAAAAAGGCTTTGGACCTAGAGTTCTAACCACCAGAAGTTTTGTCATTATTCACGATACTGTACCAACTATGGTATCGTAACTACCGCTGCGCAAGCGCAACGTGTCATGGATTCGATTCCCACACAGAACAACTCTGTGTGATAACAAATTATTGTTCCGGGTCTGGCTGCATGTGTTTGTGAACTTGTATTCAGTAAATGTGCTCAAGACATGAGAATGTAAGTATGGGGCAAAGTTTCTTTTTTCAAGGAGATAGTCCTTTTCAAAATGAAATAAAACGAATGAGGAGACGATATGTAACTTTTATTGTTCCAATACAATGAACAGATAAGATTACATTTGAGTTTCACATATTATAATTATTATTAGTAGTATTATAAAGAACTACAAATAGTATAGAGAAATTGCCTTAAGATTAATCCGATTCAATCGAGTTCCTAAAATGATTCACAAACATTTACTCAAATTTTGAATTTATCTTATCAAAGCCTTCCTCACCAAACTAAGCTCAACATCAGTCCCAATATATCAAACATTTCCCAAACCAAACTGTCTCACCTACGCACAACATCGAAATATCATATTATTATGGTTTAATCCATTTCATCAAGTACAAGAATCGATTTCAATACTAAGTATTATATAATGACAATGAGAGTTAGATGCATGATTATAAATAGTAAAATATGTTGTTGAAAACCGGAATGCCACTGCTGCGCAACCATTTACAGATCTTTGTTATAATCAAAAGATCCAGATGGAGTCGTCAGGTGTTCGTTGGACACATTCATTGGGTTGTGCTGTGTTGCTACGCTGCGCCTGATACGAGCAGGATGCATCGCTGCAGACGTGGATGCCATCGCTGAGGTTGATGGGAGAGACGTCATATCATAAGTGGATCCACTTCCACTAGCTAACCCAAACGTGGTTGTGGTAGCCGATGCAGTGGACGTGCAGGTACGTTTGGGTACTTTGATATTTTTCAAAATCTGCGTCATATTAGAATCAAGTCCATCGGCGCGCCCAGCTGTATCTTGGGAGTTTTCATTCAGAGTACCCTCCGCAGTGTGTGAGCCTGAATGAGACTGCATTACGTTAGCAATCTCCTTGTAAACATCATTGGAGTCAAAAGAGTTGGCTGGTTCCATAGAGGGAGGCTTGTTATACTCCGAAATCATTCGAATAGCTGTTGTTGTTTCCATTACAAGTTCGTTAGTGGGCATAATTTCATTTAGCTCTTCCTCCAACTCGCGTAACGTATCGGGTGGGCTATCATTTAAAGCTTCCGCCTTCCTTTTCTTATCATTCTTTTCTTGTTTTGGTGGTGGAGGTGGTGGTGGTGGTGCCAACATTGGGTGGTGTTTTGCAATGCTAACATAAAACTTTATGGCTGCTTCAATTTCTGCGCGTGTCTTTGTGGGAATCTTCTCCAACAAACGATGTATATCCAAATCGTTAGGCCGTAAGGCCTTCATCAGCTCGTACTTTTCTTTGGTGCTCCAGTTCGCGATAGCAGGGTGGTGGGTATTAATTTGCATGGTGACGAACGTAGTTGGATAATTATAAAATACCGGCAAATTATTCATCTTGATTTTCTTGGAAACTGTACTGGTGGAACTTGGTAGTACTTTGTATGGAATAGATACGAAGAGTGGGACGCGACCGCACTGACCGACGCCGAGGATAAACTGAGCTGTGTTCAAACCCCCGGCTCTTGGCTCCAGCGTAGAGGGGCAGGGGTAGTGTGGGAATACCAATCAATACTTACAAATAAAGTTGCAAGTTTGTGAACGTTCAATAATTACTATTTTGCAGATCCGGTAGCCGCCCTTTTCAAAAATTTTAAGTTACTTCTATTTAAATGTGTTTTTATGAGTAGATTTGTGTTTTAATCGTGTTTAAGATTCATTTAAAAACACCCATTCCATTTTGTTTTGGAAACACAGATCAATAAGTTATTATTCATGTTTAAATAGTATTTAAATTATTTAATAGGAATAGGAAATAATTACAACATATTATGAACAATTTTTATACGGGAAATCAAGAGACAAAACGTACTAAAGTTTTACATTTAAATAAAATGTATCCTACCATTCCTAAAAAATTTTATAATCTGGCAACAATATGGTTTGTCTATGAATGTCAGAGTTCCCAGTAAAAGCGAGTTCCCCAAAATTAGGGAGTACTCAATCAAACATCATGATTTTTGGGAAGTTTTATTTTTAGGCGTTTTATTTGTGTTTTATGAAGAAAATAAAAGTACGTAAGTAGTAGATGTCGCTTCAAGTGAGCGTGTGTCAACCGTCAATTGGGTATTTTCCTTACTCAAAAATAAATTATTTTGAATATTAAATACAATAAAATATTATTAAGTAATCACACTTTTATTAATTAATTTTATGACCAAATTAATTTCAGTATATTTCCAGATGTTTGACGCTAAAAACCATGACATCACAATACATAATCTTGTACAAAATTTATAGAGAACTGTCGTTTTTGACAGTGCGAAAAAAGTATTGAGTTTTTCTAGTTGACAATATCCAATACCTACACCTTTTGCAGCCTTGTTACCTTGGTGATATGATAAATATGACTTTTGTGCTGCATTAATTACAAAAATATAGCTATTAATTTATTTCTTAAAGATAAATCCATAGATCAATAAACATTTAATCCACCTCTTTCCATTCCTCACTCTAGAGTTCCATTTCCACGTGTAGAATCATGTGAATAGGTAGGTGTTTCCACTAAAGCTGCGCAGGCATGCGGTGCAGTGCAGAGTGAAGTTTGGTCGAGCGGAGCGGAGATGAGTTGAACAGGGCTGTGAATAGATTTTGTTTTCCAGCACATGCGCACAGTATAGCTCTACTAAGCTCGACACCGAACAGGTCTGCTCCACCTGGTACAGTCTCACTAAGCTCGACACCGCAAAGGCCCATTTATCATCTACGCCTACCATAAATTTCAACGTAAATCTTTCAACTCCGCTAACATTGTTTCCACTAAATTTGATATTTAAACAATCTATTGCTCAATTTTTCCAATCTCTGTTGTGCTCCGCGCAGCTCAGATTCTGTGCAAATGCAGTGTAACTCCAACTATATCAGTACCTATAACTATCGACAAAACTTGTACTTAGTGCAAGCGAGTAAAGATTTCATTAGAAACTGTAAAGAAGAGTTTCATACACACACTTGAGTGTTCAACTTTACTCTTCTTTTAACATTTATACACTCCAGTACACAAACATTATACGCCACTATCATAATAAATGCACTAAGCTAATGTATTTATTTCTGCCAATAATCACACAGTTGCATATAACTAATTTACTGTAATATTAGTTTATAATAACGCCGTTAAAGGTATGCATGTTAAGTTAAATAATATGTCTATTTTGACATAGGGTTAACTTGTTTTTAGTATGTCTTTAAGAAATGAATGAAATCTCACAATTTTGCAATGAATGCAACACAAAGAGTAATATTTAGAAAACATTACCAAAATATTAGTTTTCTCTATAATTACTAATTAATATAAATAAATTAGTTTTATTTACATTGAAATTATCGAGGAAAAAATATTTCAAAAGGTTGTAATACTGTTCAAAATGTCAGGTCGGCTGTCAAGTCAAGTGTCTGTCATTGTCATCGCGATCGTCAGTTCGTGTCACTTCGAATATTGTGTGACTTGTGTGGAAGAAGTTGTGTACTGTGTGAATAATATAGCTGTGTTTAACATCGGCTCGTCGTCGTCGCCGTTGATCGTCAAATTCTTCTGTTCAAACCGAACAAGTATTATAATATCTTTTAATTTCTTATCCGGCAGAACATTGTAAGGAGTGCCATTTCTATTCACTTGAAAGTTGCTGTGTTAATGTGTTCCGTACAGTCTTAAAAGTTTTCGCGATCTTTTTATTTTATAATGAGTATATGAAAGTTGTTTCTGTGAAAAAAAATAAATTTAGTTATGTTGAGAAGAAGAATGAGTAAATTAAATAATTCATTCGTGTGGGGTATATTCTTTGCGTCGGCGACTTGGAGTATATCGCTCTATTTATACTGGTTGTTGAATTTGAATGGTAAGTTGTACTTTAGGTAAATTTCATTAGCAATACTTGTATTAAAACCCAACTATGTGCTTAACTTTACATTCCCCTGGAATAAGTATTCTTATTATGTATCTTCAACACAATGCATGTACACTTAATTCAACTACCATGCGGAAAATTTCTTTTACTTTAATTATATTATTACATTTCAGTAATTTTTAACCATCATTTTATGATTTGAGTTAGGCAGCTCATAATATTTGTAATTCCTTACCTTTCCAGTTTTCAATTCCAGTGGATTTACCACTTAAAATTAAAGTTTCTCTAAGTAGATCCTAATGATCCAGATTTCTGGACAAAAACAAGTCCCTAATAAGTAAGCTACTTAAAAAGTGACAAATTCAGCGGTTTAGCAGCTTGTTTAGATCTAACAAACATCAATATCATACAAAATTACTTTCAAATATTATTTTACGTAAATCCCACCTTATCAAATTTTAGGGGACAACACAATTAATAGTACAGAAAACCGCCTAAGCTATCGGTTCGTGAATACGGACCAGAAGAACGAATTGAAAAACAATGATCGATCTATTGCAACTTTGGAGGGAAAGAATCTCCTCTTGGATAATGCAAATGTTAATGAAAAATTTTCTGGCAACATGTGGAAATACCAGAAAAGTAAATCTGATTACTACAGTAAGATGAAGTTGAAAGAAAAGTATGCTAAACACCTCGGTCTGAAGATGACTGCGCAACCAGACAATGCACTGGGTAAGGCTGTAGTGATTTATTACTTGTATCTAATTACATCTTGTTTATAAAAATTGAACTTAGTATTATTTACTTAATTCTTAGTTTATAATTTTTTTCAGTCAATATACCTACTTTTATTAATAATTTTATGCCATGCAAAATTTATCTCAAAATCTCAGCACTGGATAGACAACAGCCTGTATTTTGTGTATTGGTCCATGTGCCTAATGTAATAAGGGGGCTATTAAGATTTTACAAATCTATTACTCAAGTTTGAACTTTGCTGCTCCTTGATAGTGACTCTTCTTTTATGACAATGCGAAGTTAATTTAATATTTTGCTGTAGTAACTATGTATTAAGATACAGTTACTTTAAAGACTGTCTATGTGTTTGTAGCAGTAAGATAGGCAGTGTTCCTTAAATGTACAGTACTGAGACACAAATAACTTACATTGCAGTCACATTAAAAATCATCTAAGGCGAAGTATATTTATTTTATAATAATTGATTATATTATTGTTATTCTTTTTCTGATTTATAGACAGTTTAATAGTTGGAAGATAAATAAACATAGTTAAGCATAATAATTTTATTATGTAGTTATTTAAATTATTCTAAAACTTTTAGAACTTTTTGGAATGAGTAACAAATAACTACGTAAATGTGAATCTCAGTAATGCACAAGAATCAAAATACATAAATTCAATATTTCAACTTTTTGAGTTGATATTGATTAACTCTTCTATCTATATTGACATTTAAAGTGTTCTGATCACATCACTATCGTCAATTGAGTGGCTATTTGAGCAATTGTATTGATATGGTCAATTGGTTGCACTCTATAACATTATTGACCGCTTAAATTACTTGCTTGAATGAAATCTGCGACGAGTTATGTTGTAGCTAATTTTATTGCCCCATTCAGAGGTTGATAAGTTCAATTAGCTGGGCAATCTGTTGCTTGGTAGTTATTTTACATTTTTGGATAACTGTAATTATTGGATAAATTTAATTTGATAATTTATGATGCTCATATTATAAAATTATCCGTTTTGGTTTAGATTTTATTTCACTCATTATGGTTTACGTATCATCACTGGCGAGATACGGCTGTCGAGTTTTTTTGTATCCTCTGCCTGCAGTAAATATCATTCTAATACAGTATGAGCGAATTTGGTGAAACTGCCAAAGTTATGTAACATTTCAATGCGAAATAGCAAGTAATTAATGTATCATGCATCGCAAAATATCTATCAAGTGGCTGTAAAACGGTGTAAATAACCTCTGGTATATGCTATTGCGACTTGACCTGTATGCAGAGTGCAGCGAATGTAAATTCGTACTCTAACGAAGTGCAATTGGTCCATTATTGATGTAAGAGAGCTCATCCTTGTCGGGTACGACACAAGATCAGTAACAATTGGTTTCCTTAATAAGATAATGTTGTTAGTGTCGGGACTTTAGAGTTTTGCTTTCGTAGATAATGATTTATATAGAGCCATGGCCAAACGTAACAATAAGACCTTTTAATTAAAAGTTAATGTAGGTATTTAAGATCATTAGATATGCTTATTTCGAAGCTGTTCCTATGCTGCGAATATTTAAAAATATGCTAAATATGCCAATATTTATTGCGAATTATTTATTGATATTAATGCAGATTTTTTCATGTATTTAATGTTAGTATCAAATAATGAGTATTGAGTTGAGTTTAATTATAACTTAATTTTATAACTTGTAATTTTTGTGTTGCCAATAGATAATCAGTTTGGATTGATTCGAAATGCTGAAGATGTGAGGATTCGTGATAGTGGCTACAGTGTGCACGCTTTCAACACATTGATCTCGCAGCGAATTGGGAATCACAGAGGTTTACCTGATACCAGGAACAAACTGTAAGTATTGACATTACTATATTCACGGAATAAAATAAAAGGTAACTACGTATCGTCGTATTCTTGATAATATAATCCATAATAAGAACAATATAATATGTATTATTACATAAAATAAACATTTTTCAGGTGTCGTATCCAAAAATATTCGGAGAAACTGCCGAAAACCTCCGTCATTATTTGCTTCTTTAATGAACACTACCAGACTCTGATGAGGTCGGTGCACTCTATACTGGACCGCACTGATATGAAATACCTCAAAGAGATAATACTCGTCGATGACTATAGTGACTTAGATGGCTTACACGATGCCGTCCAGAAGTCAGTCAATGAACTCAACAACAGAATGCGCAAGGAAGAGGAAATGATCGAAACCAATAACATTGATGTGGAGAGTGTCGTGGACTATATTAATGATGATAATGTTGTGGATAAGAAAACGACTGAGAGGAATAAAGATATTTTAAGCATAAGGCTGCTGAAGACTAGCAAGAGGGAAGGTCTAATACGAGCTAGGCTGTATGGTGCTGAAAACAGTGTGGGCGAAGTAAGTAATAAAATAAATGTTCTTTTCGAAAAGTCCCGTAAAAAGGTTCTTGAGGAAGCCACTAATAACCAGTTATAAGTAAATCCCTATAATGTTACTGATACCCACTGGGCATGCTTAGGTACAATAAAATTATTGGCAATCTCGAAATCGAAACCCGGTTGGCTGTCAGCGCATATAACTCGCTTAACGAGGCATTGAACATATTTTTTGTTACCTTGATAAACACATTTATAAGCAGTTGATTTGTTTGGCTAATATCCAAAAAAATGATGCCGTTTTTAACATTGTATTAAAATAATTGTTTTACGATACCTACATATATATTAGTACCTACTAAAAGAAAAAAAAACGTATATATTTACTCAACCTATGTAATTCCCTATCTTGTTATGTAGTAACGGTAAAATAGAATTCATTTCATCCCCCGGTATAGTCGAAAATGCTAACTAAGGGATTTGACGCTCTCTGAGACCTTACTGCATTCTCCAACCGTGGAGGTTATGGCAGAGCAGATCCTTATATTATGTAGTTTAGGCTTATAGGCTTGCTGTGGACTATCATGAGCTATTGATGACATCATTATCATTATTTCAGGTTCTTGTATTCCTGGATTCTCATATAGAGGTGAACATTGATTGGCTGCCTCCCATGCTGGCACGTCTGGCGGAGGGAGTAGACAAAGAAACGAGGTTCTCTCACCGTGCGGTCACTCCGGTCATCGATGTCATCAACGCAGATACATTTGAATACACGGCTAGTCCTTTAGTCCGCGGAGGTTTTAACTGGGGCCTGCATTTCAAATGGGATAATTTACCAAAAGGAACGCTCAAAAGTAAGTCTGTTAATGAAAAAAAGAGATTCTCAATTTGATCTGTGTGTTGTACATAGAATACGTTTGTCCAATTATCTTGCGATAGACTAAACCAATTTTGATGCATTTTTCTTATCGTTTGTTTTATGAATCGTGGTACTAATATACATACACAATTATGTACATACATGCACAGGTTGTTTAATGTTTTGGTTTATTCTGAAGCTGTATCGACTACAGCTAACAGCGGCAGTTTCCCGTTTTACGATGATTGTTCTAGTCATGAATGGTGACATAACGGTCTGTTGGTAACAAACTGTATTGCGTTTTATTTGTTATGTAATTACGCGTTTTAATACTAGTGAAATAGTATGTTCTTAACTTAAGCTTGCCTATAGTAAAATACCGTATTTTTTTGACAAAAACAAATATGTTTTCAGCTGACGAAGATTTTGTGAAGCCAATAAAGTCACCGACCATGGCTGGTGGTCTGTTTGCAATTTATCGTGAATATTTTAACTACATCGGCAAGTATGACGAGGGCATGAATGTTTGGGGCGGTGAGAACTTGGAGATATCGTTCCGGGTAAATAGATTTCCTTTAGCAAGTTTTCATTGTTTTGTTTTATAAAAAAACGTATTAGTTCGAAGTTTATAAAATAATTTTGTTTCTTTCGGTGAAGAAGTTACTTAACCCAATCCGCCTTGATCAAGCATGGTGATTAATGCTTATACCTTGTTTGTGTGAGGAGAGGCTTTCCCTCAGCATTGGGCACTTATAGGCTGATGATGATAAAAGGAGTAAGAATAAGACATAACATCACGCCTTTTATCCCCGAAGTGGTAGGCAGAGGTGCACATTACGACACTTAATGCCACTGTACAATGTAACACCCACTTTTCACTATTTATGTTACGAGTCCCATGTAATAGGGGGTGAGCCTATTGCCATATACCGGGCATATTTCCAAACTCCGTGCTACTACTGAGGTTTTTACAAACCCAGTAATACTTTGCCCGACCCGGCAATCGAACCCAAGACCCCTTGCCCGGCAGTCGCACTTGCGACCACTCGGCTAATGAGGCAGTAACAATAAGATTTTATTCAATTTATGTATTTTTAGATATGGATGTGCGGCGGTTCTTTGGAGCTCATACCTTGTAGTAGGGTTGGCCATGTGTTCCGTAAACGTCGACCCTATGGCACTGGAGATAAGGAAGACTTCATGTTACATAACTCGATGCGGATGGCTCGAGTCTGGATGGACGATTATGTGGTCAGTAGATTTAATTTCCTTTTTGTTCTGCGTCCGTTTTAATGCATCGTGACCTATAAAGTGACCGTTTTCTGTTATTTGTTACGTAACTGAATGAAGTTTGCACAGTTATATTAAAATCCAAACTAAGTTGGTTTGTTTGATTTTACCTCTTGATGCTTTAATAATGAAAAATACCTACATAGTAACATGTGCTTAGTAGAAACCATAGTTCCTACGAAGCAAGGGGAAGGACAGGTTATTTCTGCTCATTCACGCCGCAGATATGTAGGCTATGATATGCCTAGGACCTGTCGTTTGATGTACGATGAAACGAAAGCAAATAACCAGTAATTAGTCTCAAATCAAATTAAAAAGAAACACGAAAATGCTTAACAACGATTTAATAATGTCACGAATTGTCTGTTTCCGAAAACCTTTATGTTTCTATTTTATGATCTAGTCAATTGTGTCGTAAAACATAACGAAAAAACATGTTTATTAAATTATTCATATATTTCTAAACGATCGAATGGATCGTAAAGGCCAGACGCGTTATTGAATTAGCAATGATTTTGTAACACGTCGATGACGGCTATCACATTTGTTCTACTTTGTTTATTTATCATTAGGAAACACGATGAACTTCGTACCTACTTTATAACGCAACAAGCAGCCCGTCCCGGCTTCGCACGGGGTAGACAATTATTTATTTTTGGAAATTTGGATTGTTGTAGTGACATAACTACAATAGTTGGATATATGCTACCGCGGAGTTTTTTGTAGACATTATGATGTTCTTCAATATTGTTATACATTATTTTGTTCTATCGCTAATAGTTTCGGCAGCGCATTCGACGAAAGACATTTTATGACTCATTTTTCTACACCTTCGGTTACATTGTTAAAATTTTACCAAGGATCCCAATTTTTTTTCAAAATGAAATGTAGCCTATGTGAAATTGGAAGAATGTAGCATTCTATTGGTGAAAGAATTTCTTAAATCGGCCCAGTACTTTTTGAGCCTATTCATTACAAACATACAAAAATAGGTACAAATCTTCCCTCTTTATAATATTAGGATAGATTACAATATTAAGGAAAACTCTTTAATATGCAAATAAGTATAGATTTTAATCATTCTCTTGGTATTCGTATTAATAAATAACCTACCAGCCATTTATAAATCTCATGCGAAAGTGTATGACTTTATGTGTGTATATGTTTGTTACTTAATCACATTAAAACGCGTAAAGGAATCGGGATGAAATTGGGAACAGGGGTAGATTATAATCTGGAAAACACATAGGTTACTATCTTATCCTATGGGAATGCGGGCGAAGCCGCTGGCAGAAGCTAGTTATTATATAATTTTATTATTTTACTATCATGACATTTAGGATTTGTTAACTGTGAGTGAGCAATATTTTTCCAGCCAAAGTGAAACATAACATAACAATGCGCCTTTTATCCCCGAAGGGGAGAGGTGCACATTTCGACACTTAATGCCACTGTACAATGTAACACTTTTCACTATTTATGTTATGAGTCCCATGTAATAGAGGGTGAGGTTGAGCCTATTGCAAAAGAGACGTAGTTTAAATTTGTGAAGAAGTAAACATAAACATGTAATTACTTATGTAAAGTCATTAATGTCTTCCTTTGAGGTAAGCAGAGACAAAGACAAGAGTACATCAGGAGTAACTAGAGGTAGATAGACTTACAATCCTACTAATATTATAAACGCGAATGTTTGCGACGATATATAGACGGATGTATGGCTGTTACTCTTTTACAAAAAAATAGCTACTAGAATTAACTATTTGGATGAAAAATATATTATAGTGTGGAATACCACATGGGATAGTTTTTATCACGTGAACGCGGGTAATACCACTGGCTATGCAGAAGAAACAAATCGCCAATCTGATATTAAATAACATTTCAAAAAGGTCGTTGTTAAGCTTTTAAAAACGAATATTTATTTACAATAACTCATTTCAGAACAAGGTGATCGAGCATAACCCGTCGGCGGCTAACCTGGACCTTGGTGACTTAACATCTCGTCACGACTTGCGCAAGAACCTGAGCTGCAAGTCTTTCAAGTGGTACTTGGAGAATATTTACCCTGAACTGGAAACTGGTGAGAATGAAGTGGTAAAGAAGAGAATAGCTGATCTCAATGATGTAGAGAAGAATAAGTTCCAGCCATGGCATTCCAGGTACTAATCTTTATATTAAGACTGTACTTTACACATTGTACAAAAGGTGTACCTATAAAGAATTTCTAGTATGGCGTGGGTGTGCTTACATCCATACAATGTCACATGCACATCACACCGAAACCCCGTGCAATGATTTATGTTGATAATGACAAAAGATCTCGTCCTTCGCTATAGCACTGACCACATGAGCAAGTAGCTCCAAATTAGATGTATTATTTTCTATTCTCTCTGGATTTTTCTTAATACATATGTAGTTTTCTATCTATTTTAAAGATAGGAAATAGTGGAAGTAGGGTAGGGAGGCATTTGCCCTGCAGTGGGACGATTATGGCTGAAAATAAAATGTTGTTTTCTGATCAACAAATTATGTAGTTAGGAGAATCATTCAAGTAAAACAACGCTGCAATATATAACGTAACGCCACTAAGTTGCCTTGTATTACAGTCATGTTACTATACTAGTAGTTTAATTAACTCTGATATCGTTAGTTCATATAGTGCGAATAATTATTGTGCGATGTACGTACAGTAAGTGGTGTCGAGGTGGCTCGGAGGTTGAAGACACCTGCTTCTCATGCATGAGGGTGCGGGTTCGAAACCTACCAACGGAAAGTACCAATGTGACTTTTTCCGAGTTATATGTACTTTCCAAGATTTTTAAGACACCACTGACCAACGGTGAAGAAAATTTCGTGAGGAAACCTGGGCTTATAATTTCTAATTATAAGTTTGAAATCGCCAACCCGCATTGAGCAAGCGTGGTGATTAATGCTCTAACTTTCTCCGTAAGAGAAGAGGCTTTGCTCAGCAGTAGGCATTTATAAGCTGATGAGTTGATGATGGTGATGATGACGTACAGTAAAAACTAATTAATTAAACATTATATTTACAGCATGCTACCAGCATAAGTATAACAAATTATCACAACACAATTATCCAATTATGATAGTATTTTAAACTTTAAGCTAACTGAAGATATCTTAATTAAATTTTGAACTTTAATGTTACATTTCCATGATACATAAGGATCATAATGTTCTTCTTAATGTAAAGGCCAACTAAAAAGTAAATTTAAAAACACAGTATTACCTTTGACCGGCCTTATAACCAATATAACCTTGACCGGCCAATGAAAACCCCGAGACCATTGGCACTTGGCATTAATACTTATCACACAATTCTATGATTACAGGAAACGCAATTACACTGATTCATACCAAATTAGACTGAAGAACACTTCGTTATGTATCCAGAGCGAAAAGGACGTAAAGACCAAAGGAGGAGGATTGGTTCTCGGAAGCTGCATAAGGATCTTGAACCAGGTGACACGTGTTGTTCACGTAATCGTTCTGGAAGAATAATGATTGAATTATTATCAATTTATAAGTCCAGGGAGCAGTCCAATTTTCAGGCTTAGCACTAAGTACAATATAGTGATTGATATGGGAATAATAAAATTTTGCGTATTTGCCTAGTCTAATCAACTTTGCCAGAGACATTATGCCTTATGAGTAAATCTAATAAGGAGTTGTAATAGGTACCATACATATACAATCATTCCTTTTTTGCATGCATTTTATCTAAATAATATCTTTGGCTGTATATTTCCGTTAGTCGCTGATGTAAAATACAGTTATCGAGGCTTTGTTCTAATATGTAAAGCTCGTAGAATGATAAATGTAATAACTTGCATCTTTGACAAAATATTGCAATATTTTCTGTCGATAAGTTCTCAGTAGGTAGACTTGTATTTTAGATATTTTCGTAAGTACATGAATTGTAGTTGTTAAACTAGATATCCGTAAAACAAGGTTATAAAAAGTTATTAACGTTACAGATGTGGTTTGAAACGAGTCGCTTCGAGTTGGTACTAGGACGCACGCTATGTTTGGACGCATCCAACAATGTTGCACCGAAACTGAGCAAATGCCATGAACTTGGCGGCTCACAGGAGTGGAAACATAAGGGATCCGTAAGTATCTTACACTCCTTTATGTCTGTGGTATAACTTGCAAATAACCCTATTCTAAAAACATCCATCTTCTCAAACAATCCTGGAAACTCCTTACTTGTATTAAGTATTAGAACTCTTAATGGCTGGTCGTAACAGTAAGTCTTAGTGAACGTAGTTATTAGATACATTAGATTCGTTGAACTGCTTTAGTATACTGCTTTTGCATAATTATTTGCATGAGGTATCAAAGGGCTGAAACGTTGAATAGAAAATTTGTGCGCATGGCATTATTATTTTCAATTCAATTGTGAATGAAATATACCTAATAATGTCGAACATATTGCGTGCAATTGACACTGTTTCGTTTCTAGCCTGCATACCGCCATGTGGATTTCATTAGGAATATAAAAAATTGGAGCTTTAGAGCTCTGCGCAAGCAGCTGCGGATGGGTAACATTCTCTGTTTCGACGTATTTCGAAATTTGGTCCTGAGTCATGGAAGGTGTAACAATCCACCATCCGCCAAGGAGTGGGATAAGATGTTTGGAGCTGTGAGTCCCTTTCTAATTTTTGTAGTGTTGATTCTCTATAAGGTTCACAAAACAATTATAGCCTATGAGAATTGCAGGACACACGACTTCACACGAATATTTTGTTTAATTAACTTGTTTGTGATAAGTTATTCAATAATTTCATCAGTTTGAATAATGATTGAAACACGAGTGTGTCGTGCAAAGAAATGTAATAAAATAATTTAAAATATTAATAATTCAAAAAGGTATATACAAATATAACCAAATAGCACGGACAAAGCTGTACATTTGACAGGATAAGAAGTAAGTTGTTCTTTGTATTGCTTGGAAATAGTTCGGTTTGAATACACGAGTGGTACCACCCACTTAATAAAACTAACCCTTTGCACAAAATAGTTGCACTAATAAAGAATGGTCATGCAAACATTCATACTATCATGCCTGTCTATCACAGGGGCCTGGGAAACCAGATGACGTCAAACAATGCTTCTTTCATATAATTACTTACTAGCTTATTGGTTGTGGGTACGTTTAAGTTTAATCGGTCAATTATTTAAGAACAAAAATATTTCGTTTTTTAAATTTTAGCTTTGTTTAATGTAACATTTTATTGTTTCCATCTATATTACAACATTCTAGGTGCACGTGCACTGTTCGATTTGTAATAAAACCGTTTAGAACAAAAATATTCAGGATAACTTAATTATAATAAAATAAAACTTAATAAATTAGATTCTTTAGTTTACGATTAGTGCAATATGAATGTTAGCTTAGTTTTAGAGGGAATGTTACATGATAATACATATTTTTAACAGGGAATCTAAACCTAACTTGATTAAAACTTAAAAGTATAAATAGCAGTTGAACGTCGTATCGTTATCTTCTTTGTAGCGCATCTGCGTATACTGTAGTTAAATTTATAAAACTGAACTCAATTTCAATTTATTAAATTAATTATATCTAAATTAGTTATAATAAATCGTAATATTTTATGCTGTCAGTTACAATTAAATTATTTTCAAGCAGTTAATTTTTTTTTTAAGTTAGCCCGGTCTAAACGTTATTCCGTTGCTTTTAAGAATTACTGTATTTTAAATGCAAAATGATGAAATTGAAACAGTGCAGCAATAATTTTTAAATATTGAAAGTTGTGAGAGACCAAAAAATCATAGTTTAAATGAAATTTCAGATAGAGTAAGATTTAAAAACGAACTGTACATTCTACAACTTTTTTTATACATAAAATGTTAACATATTGAAATAATATTTACAGGGAGGCAGTCCTATATACAACACTGCGGCAGGTATGTGTTTAGGAGTCGACCGAGCGAGTCGTGGCGAGCCTCTCATTATGGTGATCTGTGACAACCAACCAACGAACCAATGGGACTTCATTAGAACTTAAATGGATGGATATATTACACTCAAACATATTCTCTTAGTTACTAAAAACTTGATGTGACTAGGCTGTTTAGCCGACCTGAGCTTGTAGACGTAGAACCCACAGCGATTCTTATTCAACCCAATAACGGTATCTTATAGAACCATTGCTTTAGATACAGTATAACCATTTCAATCAATATAATAATTATCTTAAAATAAACAATGTCGTAGTATAGACCTTCAACATTGATCTCTTAATATTGGTAATCTCTTTTCGTAGACTCTTATTACATAATGATTATATTATATAACCATATACATAATCAATAACAATCATACAATACAGAATATTGAATAATGCTAGATTAGGATTATTAGGAGTAGGTATTTTATTATAGCGAAACAAATACAATTGAATGATATAGAAACTCGACTGTGTATGCTAACTATGTTTTCATACTTTTTAATGCAGCTTTTTATGAATATAGAGAGACTTATTGGATCTGAGTGCAGCTTGGATAAATTATTTTGTGTAATACATTAGCATATTTAAGAATCATGTTTTTGCTGTAATGGTAGTAAGAATGTTTCAATTAGAGAATTATAAAATTGTTGCTTTGTAGCATCATAAAATTGAGTGGCTTGTGAAATACTTGATACCGTCCCGTCTTGTTTTATGATTTCTTCCTATAAAGACATTAGTCGTTTAAATATTATGTACATACGATAATTTAGTGTAGTACATTATACACACATATTTTGCTAATTATACTATGTTGGAATGTGGGATGAAGAAAATATCGAATTAATGTAGTATTTTAAAATACACAGATCTTTTGGAATGGGTGAATATCGTATAAGTTAGATTTCTTTCTATAAATCCTGTGCTGAGAGTAATAAAGGGTTGTTCCATTTTTTGTCTTTTTAGAACTAAAGTATTACTAGTTAAAGAAGAAGTATATCAGTTTATTAACTGACTTCCCAAAAAGGAGGAGGTTCTCAATTCATCTGTAGGTTTTTTTTGTGAAGTTCTATTTGCTTCTGAATAGTTTTATAATATTCATTTATGTAATTTTTATTGCATACAGCATATCGTACGTAGTATATATTTAATATCTTTATTGTTTTCCCAATTTTTGAACTTTTTCCGATTCATTATGTTATTTAGGTTTATGTCTAGTGAAGTAAGCTAAGGTCTTAAATCTAAATTTTTATTAAGAAAGAATTTTTTTTTGTCAATTTACATCAGACTGATTTTTACAGCTTCGTTAATTTTGCCTTTGCACAGAATATGTACTGATATTATTTTTTTTGACTCTAGGTTCGTAACGTACTAACTTTTGTACACGATTAGTTAGGATAATATCTTTATAAGAATTAATTTCGATGTTCAGTACAATAGTCAATAACCCTGTAGACTGATTTAGTATTTGAAAGGAAAAATGTTACCCAAGTGTACTGCCATGTAACTAATCCCATCGTCTAACTAAGGTCATCGCGCATCTAAAAAACACGGCTCCGGCACGGCATTGTTTCAAATTTGCCTACCGCTGGCCGCCAGCGCGCTTACGATTTGCCGCTCGCGCCGTGGAGGCTCCGGCCGCGAAGTGGAAGCGCTGCGACGTTGTTTCGTTGGCCCCTGGCGGGCGGCTCACCGTCAACTCGCCGCTGCCGGTTCGATCCGCGGGCGACGTGCCGTAAGCATGCGGGCGCTTCGACCTTCGACTACAACTCGAATAGACCGCGCGCTGACCCCGTCCCGTCGGCTTTTTCTATTGACGTTTTGAAATATATCATACGACATGCAATTAAATTAAAGTGCATATTTACTACAACTTATTGCAGGGTTGTATGCGTGCTTGTTAGATGTGCGTCGACTTTTAGGCTCTCTTTTATAATCTATGGTTAAAAGATCGTACCCACAATAGTGAGAGAAAATAGCTAAAGGACATTATTGAATTTGAATGTAAGATTACTTACTACGTATCTTGAAAAAATAAAACAAAATCTAATTATTATTTTAAGTGATGTATTGGTAAATAAATTCAACTTCCAGATCTAACATTAATACAGTGTTGTGTTACCTATATGTAACTTTAAATCTTAAGCGTCCTGTTAGGAATTAATTTCAAATACCTGTGGTACGTACCGTTGTCTATGTAATGTTGAGATTGGTAAAGAAATAGCAACTTTAAATTTTATTATTGTTAGCTTCGTGATAGTAGAAATGTTTTGTGGCTATGGAAGTTTAAAAAAAATGTTTTTGTATAAATGCACTATGGCAGACTCATGTCAATTATTTTTGTGTAATGACAATAATTTATGCTAATATTTTTTTGCTATACATAATTCTGTTGTCACCTTAATAAAAATATTTAGTTTTTGTATAACTGAGTTAATTCAATGCTTAATGATAGCATTAAATATATGTATTTTAAAGCTAAATATTTGTATTAATAAATGTTTCTGTATTACATACTCTCCCATCGATGCCTATTATTATTATTACGAAAACAGCTTATTTGAAAGAAACGTGGATTGTATTATTTTGATATTTGTTCTTGTAATCACAGACTGGCAACTCCGTCCTTTTTTAAATACTTTAGGAACTTTGATTGTATTTTTGGACAGAAAGAACAGGAATAATCAACATCGTGAAAGTTACTTCCTTGTCAAAACGAACTTAATTCTTTTTTGATTATTTTATGATTCCTGGCAACCATATTTTGATTTGGTAGGGGTAATCACGCGTATTGTTTGCCTGATTATCTCTCATATCAACACCAAATCATTTTCTTATTCTTATGTTAACTTTCTCTCAAGTAGACACGAGTAAAATGAAATTAATAGAAAAATGCGCGAAGTTATCCGCACTCCGCACCACGACAAAATCTGGTTGAAGCTTAGATTATTAATCTTTGATTATGTAATTTCTAGATGGAGTGTCAGTTCACGAAAAGAATTTCAAAAATTTGCAGTAATACTTTTATATCAGTTTATTGCAAATTTTAAACCTATAATTGATAAAATTAAGACGAACAAAAAAAAATATTATATATATTCGATGGGCCGACGTGTGACCACTATCTCGCCTGGTGGTAAGCGATGATGTGAATTCTTTATCTTCATACCTAACTACTGCAACTGCGATGTTAGTGCTACGGGCACTATCCGTTAAAATCCCGGAATTCTCTATCTTTCGAACCATGCCTATTTGAGTTAATTTTTTTAAAACAAGACCATTTGAAAGCTGGGGAACTTCCTTCATTTCCTCAAACGATTTCTCTAACCATAACTTTCTGTTTGGTCTATTTTACCCTAATGCACACCTTTACATGCAGCCTCGGAAAACCAAAAGGGAGAACATATACACTACTGGTTACTTTACTATCCTTTATTTTAGCTTTAATAATCCTTCGTCTACTACGCCTCTGTTGGTATAGTTACTTGCAGTTATATGGTTTAAAATAATAAAGCAATTAATGTTGTAGGTAGGTACACAAAAATAACAAAAACAAAATTGAGACACAAAACAGAATAAAAGGGCAATCGACAACAATCTGTATTTTTTATAAAAGAAATTCAAACCTGATATCTTGAGAACGGTTAAGTTTGGGTTATGGGGTTACATATGGACTTGCGGGACTTGCCTTAGTCAAATTGGTCAGAAATTATGGATACTGCCACCTTTTAAGACAATTACTTAGGTCGACGTAACCTGTAACCTTGTAGGTACCTACCTAGGTATATAGATTTCATCCAAATCCATTCGGCATTTTTTGCGTAAAACAGTACCTAAAAATTAAAATAACTGAGAAAATCTTCAAATAAACAGGAATACGGTGAGTTTGTTTTCACACTTCGCGCCAAAATCGAATGTCCGCAGCCCGCCTATTTTCCGCAGACACTGACATTTGTTGTCAAAACTAGTGATGCGACATTGGCAGCGATAAAGCCAAGGATACATTAGGGGACACATGTGGATAATGTCGTGCAACATGAGTCGCCAGCGACGTTGGGTGAAGATGCATGACGTTGCTGGACTTCGGTCGACATGTCTGGCAACTTTGCGAGACACGCGTCGCCAGCGACGTCAGATGAGATAGCACCACGTTGCCGGACTTCGCTCCATATGTTAGGTCACATCGTCGCTTGCAGCCAACAACACTACCTCTGTGGGTGTCATGATTTCAACTGCCCTATGAAAGTTCGTGATGTCGCCTGAAGTATGTCCGGTGAAATTCCGCGAAGTCGCACGATCGTCACCGATACATGGCGTGGCACATAATATGTCCCCTAGGGTATCCTTGGCTTAACACTACTAATCGAATGAACGTAACACATTATCTAACAACGGACATCCATCTTCACAACGTGTTTTTATTATTGGTAAAGATCAGTAGTATTAATGGTAAAATACATAAAACTTGGAAAAGTAACATTTGTACCTGCTAGTGCTAGTTTTGAACCCGCACATTCATGTATGAGAAGCGTGCGTTTTATATCTCTGGGCCACCAATTTCCATTATTTCTATATGACCACAAATATATACTCAAAATAACAGGACATCTCTATGTATTCCATACCTCAATGTTTTTTACTTGTCGTGGTAGAAAGAAATTTTCGTGGAGTAGAGTGTCGTGACGCCGCGACCCACACAACACGCCACGACATACACCTAGCAAAACTATGAAACCCACGGATAAAACCGATATGCAAGGGCGTCATAGATTTAGTATTATAAGTAGGTCTGTGAAGGGCGCGCTACGATAATGTATTAGGTAGGTACTGTCATTTCTCGCCTTTGCTGTGTCAAGTGCAAACATCCGTTTATCAATCAATACTGACGTTTCTCTCCCGTTCATTCTCAATAGTGATGTTCTTTATGATATGTGCGCAAACATTAGTCTGTTTTAATTTCAAGCTTTGAGCTAAGTCTTGGGTTTAATTCTCGGACAGTACTAGAATTTCGATTTTACCTTAGAATTTTCGAAGTTCTTAGTAATATTTTAGCATAAGAT